GCGGAAGCCGCACTACTCGATTGGATCCCCGTCAACAGCCGCTTATGTGCGATGCGGCTCCAAGGGTCTATCAGCATCCGGAAGGGATGCAACACCAAAAGGTGTTTATTCATCATTTCAGTGTATGCTCCGACCAACTGCAGTTCTGACGCACAAAAGTACGAATTTTATGATAAACTCGCCGAATTCATTCGGTTGAGTCGAAGCTCCGATATAGTTCTCAGGTGATTTTAACGCTCAAGTTGGAAAACTGAGCGCATCGGAAGCTTGCCTAGGCGGTCATTACGCTCTGCCCTGCCAGCGAACAGATAATGGCGATCGACTTCTTCAGTTCTGCGCAGATCATCATCTGTTCCTATCCAGCACCAACTTCCGAAACAGCTCTCAACGGACAGCAACGTGGCGCTCAAATTCAACTGGCACGCTAACTCAGATAGACCACTTCTCCATTTCCGACTCCACTTTCAACTTTCCTTTCTTCTCCTATTCTTCATCCCAATGGGAAGCCAAAAGACAGCAATCAAAACCGGCGCACGAATATGCGTGGTTAATGGTTGTACAAACTGAACTGAACATAGCAGTAAGCTACCGTTGGCGTGGCTCAGTACAAAACTGCAGGTCCACTTGCGTTGAATATGATCATACTAAGTGAGTAGCCAACAGTTTTGGATAGCTCGAGCACAGAAGATTAGATTCCACGTATTGATTTGCAACAGCCAAGTAGAAAAAACCTACCAATCATTAAAACCCCTATAAATCTTAAACTTAACTTCAAACCTAGCTTAGCGTAGTGTTATCGTTCGACTTGAACTGACAGGTGCTACTTCAGAAAATAATTACTGGAGTTTATTATATTGCGCATTAGTTAAGAGAATAAATCATAGCTTGAAACGTTCCTTATAAATTAAACGGTATATCACATATGCGTTATAATTTTTTTCCCGTCATTTTCAATTTCCAGCGTGAATTGAGCGATGGTTTAGTTCCTTCTCGTAACGGTCACACATCCATGGGGTCCCAGTCAGCCGAAATCAAAAAGGTAAGATTTCCCTTTGACTTGTTCTCACGGTTAAGTCTCGTATGGAACACATTGATGTCACCCCCTCGTCTGTGATACATGTTCGTAATGTGCCAAATGACGTTAACGAACATGAAATCGCGCTACTTGCAATTCCGTTTGGCGTGATCAAAAATATGGTCCTATCCAAAAAGAATAATCAAGCCCTGATTGAAATGCACACGTTAGAGGATGCGATGCAGTTGATCGCGTATTACTCCAAGTGTCCTGTTGTTCTTCATGGGAGGAATATATTGCTACAGTTTTCAACATATTCTCATCTGGAATTAACTAACGAAAACAATGCAATTGAAAATGCGATAAAGAACGCCAATCGAATTGTCCTGGAAGATTTGAGCGGTGCTTTATCTGGAAATCCCAACAGCGTACTACGGATTGTCATAAACAATATTATGGGCCAGCAAATAAGCCACCTCATTTTATATAAAGTGAGTTCTGCCTGTTTATCCTCCAGTATACTCATTCGCAGATATTTCATCGTTTTGGGGAAATTCTCCGAGTTCTCATTTTCCAAAAAGTGGATCAGTACCACTGTTTTCTTGAGTTCCAGAATCACATCCAGGCTTTCGTGGCTATGCTGGTAAGTATCATTTATTTTTATGCAACTGAAGTTGTTCCATTTAAGGAAATAGACTCAGCGCTTCTATCCACCCTAATGACAGTCGGCCTTTGTAAATCATATAGCTTTCCGAAGTGATAAGCTTTTAGGGGACCAAGATGTTTTCTGGATCCGATCTTGAATTTACCCTGTGGCTTAGGATCTCCCAGGTATTTTCAGTCTTTATGAAGTGGAAGCCTTGGCTTTCGATTGGCCAAAATCAAAACAAAAACCGGCTTCATTTGCAATGTAAACTCATAGGAGGCCTTAAAAAAAGCCATGTAAATCGAATAAAATTAGTTGGTGCTTCAGAAGTTGAAAATTGTTTTAACGGATACCCTAAACGGCGATCGGCTTATCCCGACTTGCGAAACGATGAGCGTTTGAAAGAGGTTCAACTCCAAAAGGTTTTGATTTATCATTTCAACATATACATCGACAAACTGATCCGAAGCCCCAATACGCCTGTGTTGGCCGGTTAAAAAATCGAGTGCGCCAGAAACCGAGTAATCGTTTCGCTCTGCTCTCCCAGTGAACAGAAATTAGCGATCAACTTCCTTATTTCGGTGCAAACCGCTCGTTCATGTCTAGTACCTGCTTCCGATGAAGTTCTCAACGAACGGTAACGTTTAGCGACCAAAGTAAGCCAAACTGACCACATTAAGCTACCGTTGGTTTGGCCCGGTACATGATTGCAGGTCCTGTCGGACCTCATGCACTAATTTAGGGTGCGCTCGGACTTAACGGTAGTCATCAAACGCAACCGAATCGGTTATCTTTCCATCCCGTCTGATTCAGCTGCTCGCGATCGCTACGTCGAATATCCAAGGTCTAAACTAAAGGCTCTGAAACGTGACGCAGATTTAATGAGCGATGGGATTAGATAGGATATTCGAGTATCGCTTGCGAATCCGAGCCTGAAGCCCTTCCGAACCATGGGATCTCAAAAATAAGTAATCGTGCTGGATAAAAAGCGATAAATACCGACCAACCAGGGCAAAAATAGGGGTGGTTGGCCCCTGCAACAACTTAAAAAGATGCTCTTGGACCGTGAAAACTGGTGGGTGGAAATAGCTAGTGAAACAAAAGTAGCCACGGCCTTGAGAAAAAGCCAATGGCTGTTTCAGCCAGTACGCTCTATCAGAGGTTTACCGATCCCGTTAGCCAGACAACATTATCGGTGGTTGATGGTTGGAAAAATTATTTTTGAGGGTAATTCATCGACGGTTGCAGTTAAAGCTCCGTAGGCATTGCTATGTGAATTTCTAACAACATGAGGAGTGTATGTTGAGGCGGTGAAGAGCGAAACAGCAGCCAGACTTGTTGAACTTCCCTCTATTCTTTTCAAGGAGAGGCGAGGCTCTCGTTCATCTTTTATTGTTTCACTGTAGCTCATCTGCTCATAGGAGCCTATCCGTTTATCCTGGAGTGGGTCACTGATCATTTCTGTTCATGAAGAAGGGGTCTCGCATCGACTACGGCCATCATCGTGGGATAATTTTAATACTGATAGTTCTAAAAATGCTAGTTCCTGTGATACTACGCCTCCTGAAATCTTTGTGAAACAAACATCTGCGCACAACAAGCAGGATTTTGATCGGGTTGAATTTGTATTGATCAGATCTTAACGTTGCTTCGTGTACTCGAGTTTCGTTTACACACTCCCTCAATCCCGTAACAGTATTCCTTAACCTTGATAAATTTTTGACTCGTTTGGTCCGGCCTCCGGTTCCCTTGCTGACCGAGGAAGTATGTTAACCTAATAAGCACTATACTCACATACTACGGATGGAGTATAGATTTACAGTGAGCTTCCAGGGTGCCCTAGTTCACCATTTTTTTCGATTTTGTCTTAGACGATATATATATATATATA